TACAGAATACATCTAATTCAAGACATCTTTTCTGATCTGATCTTCGGTAAGAAGTAACTGACCGGTCTTGCTTCTCTTCACTTTTCTTCTAGCTTTCCGGAACCTACGTGTGAAACACTCACACGCTAAGTCGATGACTTAGTGAGGCATAAAAACATATAACCACTACTAATGCATTCATAATCTATACTTATTATTTCATACAAAATCATACATTCTGTCATGCAACCACTATCCACTTGTACACACACATCATTCACATATTCTTATAACAGGTTTCATAGCACAAAACATGTAAATCATATGTAAGGTATTTATTATTATCTCTTTATTAGTCTTATTTTCGTTCTTTATCTTTTTGTCATATGTTCTTGCATCAATTCCTCTTAACCAAGCTATATTCACATCATCATATCACATATCACTTCACACCATAAAGATTACAAACCAATCACATACTACTATGCAAAGTTCTTTTATATTATTTCCTTTATTAGCCCATGTACACATGTGAGAACCATAGATATGTGAGTCTATAGAGGTTGTGCACTAATATTGTCACCACAGCTCGTATAATTGCACCGAAGTGCCACGTAGAATTTCACCAGAGTGCCGCGTAGAATTGCACCGTAGTGCCATATAATAATGTCCATAAGGACCACATATCATTTCTTAAGAATCATATACATATACTAGGGATCAAGTATGTGTCTCACAAGAATTCACACATGTTCCAAAGAATATATACATATCCCGAAGGACCGCGTAGACCCTCGACTCTTGGCATGCCAACTATACCCCTAGCTCTCAAGACACATAACATGGGCACTATCTTTTATATCCTTGCACATATTCATGTAAACATATCACATATTCATATAAGCTCGTAGCTTCATTCACACATACATGTAATCACGTAGTTCATGTAAATTCTCATATGATTTCATATTCATATAATCACGTAATTCACTTACACATAGCACATTTTCATGTAATTCACATATATCCCTTAGCTTATATCTCTTGATCATTTAATCATAACTTCTTATCACATATCTCATAGTCATGTCTTCCTATATTCATTTCATCACACAGGCTCATAGTTTCTGGTCATATTATTCACATTCTCTGACTTATCTCTTATGATCTGGTAATCACTACACTTATTTCATATAACTTATTACCGAATAATTCACATATAAACACCTAGATCACTTTCACATAGCTTATATAAGTTTCCTGAATCATTTCATATTACCTGATAACGTATATCATATAGGTATATAATAACTTATCTCATTTCGTCTACTTTATGCTTTATTTCTTTATATTCCCTTAGATTATATAACTTATGTCGTATTTCTAAACATATATTACACTTAATCATTTTATTTATATACTACTTTAATCCATTTAATTAATTCAATTTCATACATTTCTTATAACCTTTTCATATAACCCCATAGATCTTTAGCATATAATTTATCATATATATATATATATATACATATCAGCGCTTTATATTCAAGTTCCCTAATATATATTATTCTCATTCCATTCTATAATTCAATCTTATTTAGTTTCCTCAATTCTCATTAAATCAAATAACTCTATTTTACTAATTCTCATAACCATGTATTTCACATAGTCTTATATTTCGTTATCTTATTACTTATATTTATTCTCCTATGATTCTTCATAAACCTCTATTTCCATTTCCCTACATCTCTTGACTTATATTCTATATTCATATAATTTCATAACTTATTTGATATTCTCTCATTAACACTTAATAGTGTGTGTACATAAACCACATAGCACATACAAAACATATCAATTCATATAATCAAGCATACATACACTCATATTCAACTCATGCCTTTAATCATGAATTCATATGTAGCTCTTAAGGAAATAAACTCATCGCAAGTCTTCTTCCCATCACCCATCATATACTATTGAATATGCACTCACCTGGCCTCACTAGTCAATTCCAATCTCTTATCTTTCCCTTTGATCGATCTTACTTGACAATGATTCCGGAACTCGTTCAGGCTCTGAATCTACATAATTATACATTTTCAAGACAATTATTAGATACCTACATCTTGTAATTCGATACTAACAACTTAAACGAACTTAATAAACCAATATTCATTTCTTCCTTTAGGGGGGGAATCGGTTCCCTCCTGTGGGGGTATCGGTTCCCCCATGATATTCTGTAAATTCTGGTTCGTTTGAGGGGGTATCGGTTCCCCTTGAATGGGTACCGATTCCCCTAGCCAAGAAATCACATTTTTTAGCACGAACATTACTTCCTTTCTTCTCAAACACTTCATATATCATCCCCTTTCTTATTCTTAACTTACATATACATGCTTAAACTCATTACTACTCATTCAATACATCTTTAACTTCAAAATTTAATCCTCTAGATAGAATTCAAGAATCATACCAATTTTTCCATGTTACCCAAACTTAATTCTAACACTTCTAGCTTCTTATTCTCATAGATGACAAGTCAAATTCAACTTCCAATTTGAGTAATGAACTCTATTCCAAAATTTTATTCAAAAACTCTTAATCTTTAATCTCTCCTAATTCCTCCATCCTTTGTTTTTAAGATGATTTAAGCTTTCCTAAATCTTAATTATCATCCAATAATCATAACCAAATCCTAAATTCAGCTAAATATCAACTAACAAGAGATCTTACCTTTGCTTATGGCTTCACGGTGGAAAAGAATAGAATGAAGAAGAGAAGTCTGGAACTCTCTCATATTTCTCACGTTTTATAATACTCAAAAAGGGAAGATAAAAATCTTTCCCATGAATAGACCATTTTGCCCCTTTAGTTCATCCATCTTGGCTATTTAATCCAATATTAAAATTCTTTACTTAACTCCCGAGACTTTTAATTTATTTCTAAATTGAGCACAAAACTTTCAAAATTTACAATTTAGTCACTGACCCTGATTTGGGATGTTACATAAATGTATTTTTGATAATAGTTTCTCGATATGACTTGTGACAAACATAATGACATAGGAGAAAGAATCATTTCATGGTCATCCCAATTAATAGACTAATGAAGTAGGTATATTATGACCCGAATAAAATGTGGATCAATTCTCTCTTAATTTGCTGGGTTACATGCGACATAAGATAGAATATATAAGTAATTATATCTCTATCCACAAAGAGAAACCCTAATATCATTCTCAGGTCAAGACCTTGTGGATAAAAAAAGAAAACACCTCATGATCTAAAGCGATTGATTAATAACTCTCTATTAATTTTTAAAAAATTAAATCATAAATCGTGGATTATTCTCCCCCACTCTCAACTTATTAAATCATTATAAACCACTATCCCATATTTTGGACCTCAACGGTAAGAATCAGTGATGGATCCAGAAATTTATAAATAGCGGTCTAAAATTTTAATTTTATTTTCTTAAAAATAATGGGGTGCAAAATTTTTTATTTGTTCCATTTTTCTATAATATTTTATACTAAATTTTATTTTTTTCCCTAAATAATAGGATGCACTAAGCCCCCTATGCACTTGACCCTAGGGGGCTTAGTGCATCCGCCCCTAGTAGGAATGTTAAAATCGTCTCCTGTCCGCCAAGGAACATCGATAAGCCTAATGGATCACCTAAAGAACATCACCACTTCATTATTAGAACAAACGATAAAAGATATCTGTACTGGCAAAAAGGTATTAGGTTGTCATATATTGATTATTATATAACTCTTTTTCGATGAAAAAAAGCTTTGAATTGATATATTTGGTCATGGATTTTTTAATACTTACCGAACTAAAACTGAGTAAACACTACACGTGGAAAGAAATATAAGAAAGAAAAAGGAGTATATAGGTTTAGTACAACTTTGTCTTCACAATTTGCATAATTTCATGAAAGAAAATCTGTACACCCAGAATCGGAAAACAACTGTTCAAATATGTGATATATAAAAAAATAACTGCTAGATGTTGGTGAAATTGACTGGTGTATAAATGGTTGTTTTCGGCGTTTTAGAAAGTCTCGTACAGTGACGGATCCACTCCTTAATATATATTTATTTATTTTAAAAAGTATTTTTGAGTCTATTACTGTTGAGACGAAGGAATACGAATGTATACGTAAATGTTGTGGTAGGACCAGCAGGGCTCTTACTGCCCAAGGTGTGCCCCCATTTTTGTTAATAGTACGCAGTGCCTGGCTGTCTAGCATGTGAAGAGATTGTGCTTTTCCCTTCTCTCTTTCTTTTTCTCACTTACAAGCACCCATCTGGCACTTTTTGATTCATTCACATTCTGGGGGAAGACGACGACAAAATTAGTCTAGGATTTGAGTCTGTGATTCTCTTTGGTCTTTTTCCCACAATTCCTTTGCTCCTTTTCCCACAATTCCTTTCCTCCTTTCTTCTCTCTTACTTGATCCAATACCCTCCTAAGTCCTAAAACAGGGGCACATATAACCTCACCATCTCCCGTGTTAGTATTACCTGTCATTTTTTAGGGGTTGTCCTTTTACGAAATGGGGTTGTGGTGTTTACATAGGTTCATAATATAGGGTCGCGGGACTTACAAGATAGTGTTTATTTAAAATATTTATTAGTTATTGGCAACGTACATATTCTCTAGATGCAGTTGTTCGAACTCGAAATCTCTAAAAAAAATAACATTATCTTTTTATCACCGAGATCGCTTGATGGATTCTAAATTAATTATTTTTAGAATTGATTCTAACTATACGATCGAATAGCAATAGTTTTATGTTATCGCTTTTAAGGGTCTAAATAATGATATTATCATTTTAGACCTACTAATAACATTATTAAAATAGAAGAATCAAATTATATGTAAGGATTTAATGTCAATTTCATAATAGTAGAGGGACTACAATCATAATTAGACCATCTTACTTCTCTTCTAGATAAAAGTTAGCCTTAGGTAGAGGTGGGTAGGAAACACATTGAGTGTAGGGTTTTCTTTTGAAAAAAGGAGAAGAAGAAGAAGATGAATTTTATAGCCTGTGAGTATAGCAGTGGGAGTGAGTCCGGTTGGACTAATTACTTAGAACAATCATTTCTCTCTGCCAGTCCTTCAAAGAAAAAGAATGTTAAAAAGAGTGGGTTTTGTGATGAACATAGAGAGAATATAGGTAAACAAAAGGTTGATGATGATGAAGAAGAAGAAGACCTTTCCATGGTTTCTGATGCATCTTCAGGGCCTCCACATTTCTATGAAGAAAACTGCTACTCCCATGATGGTAACCAATTACACCATGAATACATGGTGCCCCAAGGTGTCACATTGAATAAAAACGGTGGTGGTAACAGACATAGAAACAAGGAACAAAAACGAAGACGCCTGCAGGTACATGAAGACGATGATACAGCAAGCTCTCCTTTCATCAATCACTCCAAGGTAATCCATTCGTGTTATAAAATATATTTTCTCAATAATCATGTTGTTTTCAATGGTCTTAAATTAAGTGTTGTTGGTGATTTTTCCCAGAACAACAACAATAATCATGCTCCTGTGGGTTTCTCTGCAACACACTTTGAGGTACTTTTGTTCAAAATCTTAGCTTATATGTTGATAATACACCAGGGAGGATCAAATTTTCAAAACTATTTTGGGTTTTTTGCAGTCATCTTCTCCCTTTGCAAACCAGCTACAAACCAGGGAGGATCAGATTTACAGGTGGTTTTAAGTACAAAAAAAAACCCAAAGAGAATGTGGAGTTGGAAAATGAGATAAAAAAGAAATGGAAGAAAAGGATCTTTTTCCCTTTTTCATATATCTTAATTTTTCATTTCATTTCCAGTTTTCCATTGTACTGGTGGCCATTGCAAAAACTTGGAAATATATTTCTCTCCTTTTAATCTTTGTTTTTTATTTATGGAACCCCATGCTCTCCTCTTTATATCTGCAGTTAATCACTACTTCAATTCAACTAAATACAAAAATAGTTCAACATATATATATATATATATATATATATATATATATATATATATATATATATATATGTGTGTATGTATGTATGTATGTATGTATGTATAATATTAACTGTTATAAAACAGTGTCGAAAGTACTATATTTTTCCCCACATTCAGTACTTTTAGCTTCAGCCTGAAAAGCAAAAACTAAAACTGAGAAGTGAGTATTTTATACAGAAATCTACAAATTGGTAAATCCTCGGCTTTAGATAGCAAATGTTTCTTCTGCAATGTAAGGGACAATAAGTGAACAGGAATTTTAGTAGCGATTCATTATCAAAATATTAATCGTTACAAAACAATAAAGATACCGTATTAAATCATTATCATAAAATTTCAATATCCGTAATAACCAGAATAACATTCAATATTATCGCAATGGCGATAAACTCAACACAATAGAAAACATCGTTGACTGTTGCATGCATGTGCAGGGATGTTTATTTTAATCTTTGTTTTTGTTTGGTAAAATTTTGAACCCAAAACCGGCCGACACCATTTATTGGTCTGAACATCGAGGTTGCTTAAACTCTAACATTCATCTTTTCAACAAAACAGGACAAATAGATGTGTCATAATCTATGTGGAAGTTGGGATTTTTCCATTTCCCTCTACTATTATAATTCCAAACTCTGATCAAATTATTTCTAAAATCTGAAGATAATTTAAACCAAATTATAATTCATTTCTGATTAGAAAGCTGGTTTTTTTTTTTTTTCTTCTATGAATCAAAATCATGGGGGGGGGGGGAAAGCTTGGTCATGAATGATGACAAGAACCATGTCTCAAAGTGTCCAGACAGGGGTCCATATCCACCATTCATAAGTTCCATTTTTCACCATAACTCAACAAGTTTTAGGCCCCTAAATATGCACATGAGGAGGCACAAAGATGATGGGAAGTGTTAAATGGGTGATGGGCATTCATTATCTAAGCTCTCACAGATGACGATGATGATGCTAAGTAAATGACAAAAAGTTAATGTTGATATATATATTGATGGGAACAAATTGATCACAACGATTATATAGAGTTCACTTTTTTTTATTTGGACAGAGTTGTAGTCGATGGAAGAACAATCATTGATTGGTGTCAAGGTCTTTTGTCTCCATAATGAGGTAGACAGGGGTTCGTGAAGAAAGGGTCTATACCCTTCTCTCGATCTTGATCGAAAGATTTTATAGTGACTCATAGTGTTGGTGTCAAGCATAAGACCATTAGAACTACTCATAGGTTGACAGACCTGTAGATATGATAGGTTAATAATAGATTTAACTCTGATGGATCACCTGAACTTATCAGAAGTCGTACTAGGAGGTGGTTACTTCCTAGGAAATGTCAACCTTTGAGATCCTTCCTCCGGAGATGCTCTTCCAAAATTTCAACTATAGTGGCAGCTTCGAAGGCCTTGAGGTGCAGAAGAGAAACTTTGGAAAGGGTACAACAATATATATATAACAATATATATACAACAATATATATAACAATATATATATATATATATATATAAAAGGATTTCATCTTTCAAAATTTGCTCATATAGAAGTCTAATATTTCAAAGGATCTCATTTTTTTTGAAAGTTTTAAAAAGTTTAAACCCTTATTTAAATAAATACAAAAGTGTATACCATATTTGGAGATTAATCCCCTCTCTGTATGCAACTATGCATCATCCCAATTAGCCTTTAATTTCTTACCTTTTGAAAAACCTCCCCTTGGAAGATCCTGTCTGTGATTTTCCAAACCCTGAAGAACATGCCCCATTACATTGAATAATTTGATATTGTTTTTGGATTTTATTAATGCCACTTTGCTCCCTCAACCATGTCTGCTTTGCAGCTTTCATCGAAGTCGATGTCATCCACAATTATATGTCCCTTCCCATTTCATTTCTTTATTCATCAAACTATTCCATACTAAGATTATATAATTTCAAAAGTGTCCATAAGATAAGAAATACAACTATAGGGGAACTTAGGATGTCAAAAGTTATGATCTAATCTTAGACCCACATGTCCTATTTCCACTTATTTTATTATTCTTCAACGTTTGGGAGTTCCCAATGTTAGTCAAATACACAAAACATAGAGACAAATCAACCAAATATCATATTATAATAACATTAGTATTTAATAGTGAATGTGTTTTACCTACCATCAATAAATTAATAGTGAAACTAACATAAAAGTTTTAGAATTAAATTTATTTAAATTATTTTTTGTGATGTATTATTATTTATTTTGTTTATAATGTATGTTTATAATTTTAATAGGAAGATGATGTCCTTAGGTGGTTCATTCTCTTTTTATTCGATAGGGAGTTACAATCGGTTGCACGGAGAAATAAGAGAAAAGGATTAGAGAAGATGATAAACAATGAATGTAGTAAAGAATATTTTTCTTTCTCAATCTTGTTTGTGCGGATATATATGTATCTGACATCAAGAAGTACGGTGCTAATATAAGTTATAGAGTTGATGATTATTGATAGATTAGTAAGGGAGTATATCCGACTGTCAGATAATAAATTTAACTACTTATGAGATTAGTAGCAATCATATTGAGGGATTTTAATCAAGTAAAGAGAATGATATAGTTATCCCCAAATGAATTATGAGATATATTAAGAAAAAAATTCAAGTCTCAGACTCCATTTATGAAGGAACGATAATAAAGTTATGCAGAAAAAATAATAAAATTATTAATTTACAGATACACTATTAATATATATATATATATATATGATGGTAATGGTAAAGGTAAAGAGTCCTTGCCTTGTTGGGTTGCATCATATTGGATAACGATAATAAAACATGAATTGTTGTTCCGACCATCATCAAAACCAAAACCTTCAATCCCACTGTAAAATTCCAATTGGGGGAATGCAGCTGTTGTTGTGCGTTGGTTTTGTAATAAATTATCTGATTTCTGCTCATATCTCCATTCCTGTCTTTTATAAACAACAGTTGTGTCTGCTTTTCATCATCTCTCTCTCTCTCTCTCTCTCTCTAACCGTCTTTATCATTCGAAAACCTTATAATAAATTTTCTCTCATCATTAGTTTTGAAATGACAATTACAATAAATAATTGAATAAAAGCTTAATGTTACTGAATTAATAATTTACCAATAAAAATAAATAATTGAATAAACGCATATGAATTGTAAGATGTTTTGTGTGCAAATTTTCTTCATGTCTTAAGTACGAGTCCTCTAGTTCCCATCCTCATTTTCTTTTATTTTTATCATTAAGAAGCGGTTTAACTTGTATAAATGTTGCCCATCTCCCGCAAGTCTCAAGTTAAAGTACCCTTGTAACTATTCTCATTTTCTTGAATTTTCATGGAGTGTTAAATTTATTCAATTATTTTAAAATAATATTAGAATCAAATTGATAGAATATATAAGTAATAAGGATCAACTGGGTTATTATACAAATTGATAGAATGTATAAGTAAAAGTTGGTGGCTTGGTTGAATACAAATTAAAACTTTAATGACTCATCTGAAAAAATTTTTAATTTAATAATCAAAATATAATCTAGTCAATAATTTAGTGGCCATGGGAGTAGTTTATCCTAGTTTAGAAATAATATAGTCTTACAATTACAGAATTAAAAGCAAAGGCTAGCTACGCCGACTTGATTAAATAAAACCTAGCACAAGACGACCGCTCAACAAAGAAAGCACGCCGACTTGATGAAGAACCACCAGACACAAGCGACGACGCTCCACGCAACATGGATGTCGAAGTGGCCAGCAATACGAATCCAGCGATCCCACCCGCTCCAATCTCTTATCGCGACACTCTCATTAAAGATAGTCCTAAAGAACCATTGATCGATGATGAAATTCTGAATGAGGAAGATGTCAAAGTTTTCGAGGATGATGTAGTCCGTGGTGTCGTTGATGGTTTAATCTCATCGATTTCTCTGATCGGGTCCAAGCCATTGCCAATAAAAGTTTTGATCAGACCGTTGTGGTGAAGCTACTTGGGAGGCGTATTGGCTACACAACTCTTTGAAACAAACTTTATGATCTATGGAAGCCGACTCAGCCTTTTCGTCTCATGGACATAGAAAACGACTACTTCCTCGTTTGGCTACGAACACGCTCAGATTTCTTGACTGCCCTCTCCGATGGCCCATGGACAATCTTTAGATATTACTTAACCGTTGAACCATGGTCGCCGAATTTTACCTCATCACAATTATTCCCTAGCAGAATTGTGGCGTGGATTCGCCTTCCGGGATTACCGGTAACCCTCTATAAACGCAGCCTTATTGTTGAAATTGGTGAATGCATTGGAAAGGTTGTTAAAATTGATTATCAAACGGAAACTGGTCATCAAGGACGCTTTGCAAGAATGGCGGTGAATGTGGACCTGAAAAAACCGTTAACCTCGAAGCTTCTAATCAATGGGCGCATTCAGATTGTTGAATACGAATCACTGCCTACAATCTGCTTCTCATGTGGTCAGTATGGACATGTAAATGATATCTTCCCAGATAAAATTATTGTCGACCAGCATGATTCAAATGACCCAAAGGATCAAATAAGTGAACCACAATTATCGACTGCCAATCAAAGCTCTGAACCATTTGGACCATGGATGGTTATTGAGCGAAGACAACAGAAAAGCAATAAAAAACCTCCAGCAGATAAAAGACAAAATCTAGAGAACAATGGTTCACATTTTAATCCTCTTTATGAATCAGCTGATGATGTTACAATTGTTTCATTTGAAAATCAAGCTACATATACCAACAAAGTTACTCACACGCAAAATACTGCTCAGACTCCTCATGCTCATCATGCTTCTCATGGACCGAATGTCTCTCATGCTTCCCACGCGACTAATTCTCTTTCCTCAGCTAATCACGCACAATCCAGCAAAAGCAACTCCAGCAGTCAACATACTGCAAAAAACAAGATGGTCACTCTTTCCCGTAAACCACTAATAATCCCCAAGATCACTGCTAGATCTTCGAAAGGAAGCCCAAGTCAATCCAGTAACCAACCCCGCCAAAGCAATGTTGAACCACGTGTTACCATATTGGATAGGTCGAAACATTCGACCATCGTTCTAGCAGAGAATACAAATCCAAACATTATTGATGACGTGAACTTGCAAGTCATGCACAGAACCACCCAACACAAATCCATACCACGAGAACCACCCGATACAAACCAACTTCATTCGAGTGAAGCATTTTCTAAAAGACCAGAAGCCGATCCTACTAGTCCTGCTCAACGAGACGATGCCACGCAGAATATTTGCATTGACAGCCAAACGGTTCCCATACTGGAATGATTTGGTTTTTATACTTATCTTTCTTTATGGATGTTAAAATAATATGTTGGAATGTACAGGGATATGGTCACCCGTGTTTTCTCACGGCTTTTCGGTAATATTTGCGCGACTTTAAACTAGACTTAGTAACAATCCTTGAATCCCGTATAAGTAGGGGCAGAGCTGATGCTTTTATTGCCGCCATTGGTTTCGATCGCTCTCACCGCATTGAAGCTATAGGTTTTTCAGGAGGCATATGGATATGATGGCACATGAAAATCCATGTAGACATACTTCTCAACCATTTTCAGTTCATACACTACCGTATATCTACTACCTGTGGCAAGTTCTCGACTTTGGCAACCATTATATATGCCAGCCCGAATACAACAAAGCGAAAACAACTATGGCCTCACCTTCGATCCCTCGCTGGAAATATTACCTCCCATTGGATCATGTTTGGAGATTTTAATTCCACGCTCACTGCTTCGGCTCAGATGAATGCTGCAATTTCTACTCGGCCTTGCAAAAATTTCCAGAATTTTGTTTATGATTTCGACATCCGTGACATGGGATTTCAAGGTCTTGAATTCACGTGGAATCGGGGTCTCTCTTATGCTCGTCTTGACAGGGCTTTATGTAATAGCAAATGGGACGAATCGTATCTTGAAACAGCCATACATAATCTTCATCGCATGCGGTCTGATCACAGACCAATTCTCCTTTGTGTTGGCATCTCTACAAATAACCTTCGCCCGGCTCAATTCAGATATTTCTCTGGCTAGTTGCATCATGATGATTTCAATCGTATGGTGAAGGATAACTGGTAAACTCTGAATCTCTTTCGGACACTATCACCCTCTTTACTAATACAACTGATACATGGATTAAAACGGTGTTCGATTATATTGGCACAAAAAAAAAGATAGTTATGGAAACAACACTCAAGAATTAATTAGGCCACCCAAGGTGACCGAAACACAAAAATACTTCCACAGAAGTGCTTTGCAGTGAAAGCAGAAAAACCAAATCTTGGCCCTAAAACTTCCTCCAAGTGATTGGTACTTTGACACGAATAAACTTAAGGAAGAAGTGGTTCTTTTTTTAAAGAATATCTATGCATGCGATGAGAAAGTGGTAGGGACTTTTCCCATTTCAGGTTATTTTCCCGGCTATTCTGGCTCAATTAAAGGATTCCATGTCTATTGAACCTAATGATAAGGAAATCTATGAAGCTCTTAAGGATATGGCTCCCCTAAAAGCACCGAGACATGATGGCCTCCATGCAAAATTTTTCCAACAAAAGTGGCACGTGGTGGGTCAATCTGTATGTATCATAGTGAAAAAGGTTTTTACAGGAGGTGACATTGAAGCCGATCTAAACAAAATTATGCTTGTTCTAATCCCAAAAAAAGGACCTAAAACTTTTGCGGACTTCCGTTCCATCAGCTTGTGCACAGTTATGTACAAACTCATCACCAAAATTATTGTCCGATGCATAAAGCAAGTGATGCCTATTTTGATCATGCCGAATCAAACAAGTTTCATCGATGGCCGCTCTATTACCGAAAATATCATTATAAATCAGGAGGTAATCCATTCCATGCGCCAGCTCAAGACAAAGCAAGGTTTGATGGCAATCAAAGTGGATCTTGAAAAAGCTTTTGATCGCCTCCGATGGGAGTTCATTCAAGATTCGCTCACTGAAGTTGGTTTCCCACCAAGCACTATCTGACTCATAATGCACTGTATCACCTCGACCTCTATGCAAATCCAATGGAATGGTGAGAATTCTTATACATTCCAACCAGAACTGGGTATCCGACAAGGTGACTCACTTTCTCCATATCTCTTTGTTCTAGCAATGGAATGTCTTAGCCATAGTATTCGTAAATGTGTTAAAGAAGGTGATTGAAAGGGTTATTCTTTTTCCCGGCAAGGCCTCTCTATCAGTCATTTATTTTTTTTCTGATGATCTTATGTTATATGCAAAGGCTGATCTACCCCATGCGAAAATAATTGAGAAAATCCTCATGGAATTTGGGTACTTCTCGGGGCACAAAGTTAGTAAACGGAAGACACATATATACTTCTCACCTAATACCACCACACCCACGAAATCTACCATTCTATCATGTCTTGGTTTCCAAGAAGTTGAATCTATGGGGAAGTACCTTGGAGTTCTGGTCCTTCATAGGTGTATTAAAGTTGCTGATTTTGATTTCATCTTCGACAAATTCAGGAGTAAATTAAATGGCTGGGTTGCTCGACCCCTTTCGCTTACAGGGCGTATTACTTTGACAAAATCAATCCTTTAAGTCATTCCAACTTATTTTATGCAAGTCATGCCATTCCCTAAACGAGTCTGTAATGAGATCGAAATTGTGGTAAGACGTTTTATTTGGGGGTCGAAATCATCTGGTAGGAAAATCTCTCTAGTTAACTGGGCTACTGTTTTTAATCCGATTGACTGAGAAGGTTTAGGGTTTGTTCAGCCTCTTGAGCAAAACAAAGCTTTCATGATGAAGCTTGACTATTCCCTTATGGTGAAGACAGATTCTTACTAGGTCCAACTACTCAGACAAAAATATAAAATTCAAGAGACTCACTCTCTATTGATCGAAAAGCATAATTGTTCCCCATTATGGAGAGGAATATCGAAAATATGGAGACAGTTGCTCTCATGTTTGGTTTGGTTATTGGGTAATGGGAACTTTATAACTTTCTGGAATGTTAATTGGGTGTCGAGCTTGGGGCCTTTACGAGACTAATCCCGAAATGATATATATGATGTTTTAACCCAGACAATTCACAACTTCGTTGATGTTCATGGCCATTGAGACGTTGCAGCTCTATCTCGAGTTCTCATTCCAGCTGTCATCCCTCACGTCATCAATGTTAGACCCCCTGATAAAAACGATAAACCTGATGCACTGGTTTTAAGATGGAATCCTGAACTTAACTTTACAATTAAGTCAGCTTATTTTTTTCTCATAAAAGGTAATTGGAATGAAAAAAGCTTTATTTGGAAGCTAATTTGGTCAATCATTGCTCCTCAATGAGTTCGCATGGCTCGCTTATAAAGAAAAAATCATGACGAATTATGAACGAGGAAGACGACTGCTCACAAATAACCATTCTTGTCTCACTTGTGGTGCAACAACTGAAACTGTAATTCATGTGCTACGTGATTTCCCACCAAGCCGACATATGTGGTTGCGCATTGTGCCCCAATCCGCCTGCTCAAGCTTTTTCGGGACTGACCTTCAGTCATGGATTACACTAAACATCAACATGCATCATCCCTTATGCGAGGGTGGTCATTCTTGGTCCTCTTTTTTTACTGCTCTCATTTGGCTAATTTGGAAACAAAGGAACGATTATGTTTTTAAGGGTGCTACTTATAAAACAGACTCAATCATTCATAGTGGTTATAGCTGGGCCAAGTGCTATGAAATCAATACCAGAACTCCTGTTGAAAGCCCGAGACAACAGATGGCTGCTTCAACGTGGTCTCCGCCACCCCGAGGATAGATGTGTTTAAATACGGATGGTGCAATTGCGATACTTGATGGGTGAGGTTTGATTGGTGGTGTGCTTTGCAACTCCACTGGTGATTAGATTATAGGTTTTGCAAAAAATATAGGGACAACATCTTCCCTCCACGCAGAACTCTGGAGCATCTACAAAGGTTTACTCATTGTAAGGAGCTTTGGGGTTTTGAGATTATTGATACAATCCGACTGTAGCAGAGCAGTCAAGCTGGTCGAAGATAATGCTTCCATTGACAGTCATATTCCTCTATTACGCGCAATTACGAAGCAACGAAGGTCTGGATGCTGGATAACAAATATCCAATGGATAAGCAGGAATGGGAACAAAATTGCAGATAAGATGGCAAAGCTTGTCTCCTGGAATCACTTTAGTTTGATTCGTTTCGACTTTCCCCCTGATGAGCTTATTGATCTCCTTCGATTAGAAGCAGCCGTTGCGCAGCAAGATGACGCTACTAGCCATGCTTAGACTACTATCTTAGGCTTTCTTTCAATTCAAAAAAAAAAAACAAAGGCTAGCTTATTATTAAATGTAAAAATTAGCTAAATCATGAACGAATCCTTCGCCTCATGCTTTAGAATGGTAAACGACCTTAGCCCTGACTACCCTAACAAGCCCTTGTGTTTACACCATGAAATATCAATCACATAGAGGAATACCGCCCCAACAGTATTACCGTCGACCGTCCAAAGAAACTTCGGCATCCCTACTTTATCATCATCAAATAGTTAGATATGAATGTTCATGCCAAATATATCGGCGACCGCGACAAAAGCACTGATCACAAGAGTTGTTGTCGATAGCATCACTCTCATTCAAAGATAATGGTTCTATTTTTCATCCAACATTATGTTTATGTAGTTCTCTGTGTTATCCACATAATCCCTCATCTTCAATCAAAGAGGAAAATCATCAAGAGATAAAATATTCAATAATCTACACTTACATTTGAGTTCGAGAACTAAATATATAATCTAAGCTTATATTCGAGTTCGAGTAAACAATGATGAGACAGGAGACATTAATCAAGTTGTAGATGCAAGTGACATACTGTCTATGTTACATGGGGACAGTAGAGGATGGGCGTTTCAAGTACTTGAAACGTCCCTGGCAAGGGGACGGTACGGGGACGGCCGGGGTACGTACCGGGGACGTGCCACGGTGGCAGAGTACGGTCGAACGATACGGGGACGTTTTGATGCTCGCTGGGGACGACCTTCCTCTGCCATCCCCGTGCAACAGAGGTGAATTGCACCTTCCCGTTCAATCCAAACCAAGACAACGCGTGCGGAAAGCTAACAATAAACGCCTACTACGGCGAATCTTAGAGAAAATACGAGAAATTTATAGCTCTACAAGAACCACCCGGATCTTACAACGAATCGAAATTTCGACCGCCGTATTAACGCGATTATCTTCACTGTAGATCATCTTTGTACGGTAAGCTAAGCACCGATAGAATCCGAGAATGGATGGCTTACCACGCTTAGTTCTTCGGACCCAGATCGCATTTCGTGTTCTACGACACCGACGGGGTGTCCTTGGAGGTTATGGCAGTGCTGGAACCATGGGTCTGAGTCGGGAGGGCCAAGGTTCAGGATATAAGGGACCAAGCCTAGTACGATGGGTATTGGGTACTATTATAACCAATTTCTGGTAGTGAACGATTGTTTACAGTACAATTACGATATAAACCTGCAGAGAAGATGAGCACTTGCAAGTTGCAACCTATTGATCAAATATTCGAATCTTTTCCAGGTTATTGAAGCTGAATCTCAACCTAGCGATCTATGTACACGTCGTTTAGGCACACATACAACCCTAAGCTGATATGTCTTTATGCATTTTCAGTTACTGCAACAATTGAATCATAATGTCTAATCATCTTTAAAGCTGTGAAGTTGGAATACATGATAAATGGAATTTTGATGCCTCAATCTAAGCTACTTATATTTCTTTGTTGTTTGTATGGACTATTTAGATATTTTTGAAGTAGGAATATATGATAATCTGGTCTTCATGTTAATGCAGGCATTGGTTCTATCTTGTCAAGCAGCATGGCAAGCTCTCCATCAATGTCACTCATTTCCACATTGGCTACTTGTGTTCTACCATTCAAAACATTTACACTTGTTGAGCTTTAGAAAGCAACAAACAATTTCAGTTCTATTAGAATATTTCACTCCAAAGGTCTCAGATTTTGGTTTAGCTAGGGAAGCAACTGAAGGAT